CGAGTTTTCTTTTCAGCAAGGCTGGGGCCGTGTACTGGCGGTTCAAGCCACACAGTTCCTTTCTACGCTTGAAAAACAAACACGCAGTGGCTAACACGTGCAACTTTTAAGGTCGCTGCTGATAAATTTCATGGGCAGCCCGTGTTCCATTTCCGGCCTCCGAGAGTCATGGTGAGGGGCCCGTGGAAAGGTACTGCTGTTTCAAATCTGGTCGATCACACGGTTATACAATACAAATAAATAAAAATGAACATTCCCTGAACGGCTGGTGGTCAAGTCAATAGTAAATACACGGCCCATGTGGTGAAATGGTACGCACCATGTTAACAAAAACAGCTACGTCCAGATACATTTGGGAGAGTGGACGTTACACCGCCTGGCATTCAATGCTCCCGGTGTCCAACGGGGAGTCTGACCACAGGGTGCCAACGATCTGTTTCGTTTTTTTTTTTCTCTCCTTTTCCTTTGTCTTTCCCCTGGTTGATTTCAGTGTCCGTGCATTTCCACATAGCACACCACCAGGACATCATGCAGTCCTTTTGCCCCGTTTCCATGGGGCCACCAGCTCCCTCCCCCATTGCCATGCCAAGCCTTTGCCGGAGCGCGGGATACGCGTAGCGTTAACGCTAAGGGCCCACGGCCGATGTATTGGCCAAGTACTGGTCGTTTAAGGGTAAGCAGCGCGTATGTACAGAAGTGCCCAGGTACATACGGGCGCTAAAAGTCCCGTTTGGGGTCCGAACCCAAAGGCTTTCAGCCCCGCCAAACATTATTTATGGGCCTACAAATAAGTTCCTTTTTCTGAATTTTTCTTCGTGAGCTCTTTATGATGTGAGGTACATGCCTAAAAATTGTGAATTCATTTTGGTAAGCCAAACAAAAATTATAAATCGCCAAAGATGGAGGTGTCAAACCGTTCGCCCACTCACTGTTTTGTTTTGTTTTTTCATTTTTTACTCTTTGTTTTCAGTTTATTGCGGGGCCTACACAATTTTATTATTTTTGAAACTTTAAATCGCCAAAGATGGTGGTGTCAAAACCGCTCTTTGTTTTCAGTTTATTGCGGGGCCAAACAAAAATTATTAATCGCCAAAGATTTTCGTATTATGTGAAGTAGACATCAGTAAATTTTCAGGGCATTTGGTTGTGCCCCAAAAAAATGAAAAATCACCAAAGATGGCGGTGTCAAAACAGCTCTTTGTTTTCAGTTTATTCCGGGGCCTACACAATTTTATTATTTTTCGAAACTTTTTAATGATTTTCGTATTATGTGAAGTAGACATCTGTAAATTTTCAGGGCATTTCGTTGTGCCCCAAAAAAATGAAAAATCACCAAAGATGGCAGTGTCAAAACCGTGCTCGCTCACTCACTAATTTTTAATTCTCTTTGCATTTTTTCTTATTTTCATTATTAGTTTTTTCTGTATTTCATTTTTATTTCGAATTTGGTAAGGAATTTGGATGTAATGCTCAGGCAAATGTTGTCCATTTTATTTTTCTTCATAACAAGTTCTTCAGAGTTTTTCTAGTTGTTTTTTTTTTTTTTTGGGTCTGCATTCGGCCCCAACGGCCGAACGCATCCCCAAGGGGTCCCATTCGTTAGGGCGTTCGGCTCGTCCCGAACGCCAGTTACCTTGTTTATATATATATATATCGTCAAATAGAACTGCCCGGTAAACCGTAGGCAGAGAGAGAGAAGAGGACAACAAACGAGGGGCTGTGACAAACTGTTTCGTCGGAGTTTCACCGATATATATATATCGTCACAAATATATACATGTAGTCAAACCGAACTGCCGGGCAATCAGTTATGGGACTCGGTGAAACTCCAACAAACCAGTTTGCCATAGCCCCTCGTTTGTTGTCCTCTTCTCCCTTCCTCTCTGCCTGCGGCTTCGCTTTTCGTCACAGGTACCTTGAGGGCAGGCGGTTGGTGCCCACCTGAGGCTTAACCGCAATCGGACTCAAGGCAAATTATGACATGGTGTAATCAGTTAGGGCACCCTGCAGACTGTAGAGGGTTCAGCGTCCTAACGAATAGGTCAAACGCCAATGAAACAGTCTGTCCCAGCCAGACCAGAGCCGGAAACAGGTAAACGCGACTGCTACCGTCTTCCCCAAACACAACGCACGCCCATTTTGGCTGTATAGGGCCAGAAAAATGACTCGTATGCATACATTATCAGGGTGCGTAATGTTCGGGGAAGACGGTAGCGCTGCCACTCAGCCTTGGACTGGGCAAACCACTTGACCACATTCGCTGCATTGGAAACGGAGAAATGCAAAGAGCCCAACGAGTGGAGTTATATGGGTGATCGAATGCCCTATACACCTACGTAGCGGGGTCGTTGACAACCCCTCTGGTTTCTACCAGCGGGGTCGTTGGCTAAATCTGCTTGCTACCGCATTCACCACCCGAATACCCGAATAGAACGCCGGGGCCCATGTCGAGAATTACATACAGTTTATACCCAGTACGCTTTAGGTGGCGAGGTTGAGATCTGAAAATCTCACTGCCGTCTTCTCCCAAACAAAACGCACCCTCATTTTGACAGTATCGGGCCTGAAACATATCTTGTATACGTTCGTTCATTTTCAAGGTGCGTTATGTTCGGAGGATGACGGTAGCGAGAAACATGGGGCTCCGGTCACTACAGACGCAGTAACTCAGTGCCACTACCGTCTTCCCCCGAGCACAACGCACCCCCACATTTTGACTGCATCGGACCGGAAAGACTACTATACGTTCATTTTCAGCGTGTGCTTTATTATGTTCGGGTGAAGACGGTGAAGTCTAATATCATACACCAATTATGACCGAGCGTTCTATTCGGGCGGGCGATCAAGACAGTAGCGAGCGGTTGACACCGCTGCCTGGCTGGCGGGCAGGCGGGCGCACGGGGCGGATATTAGCGCCGCGAGCAGGCAGGCACACGTGGCGGATATTAGCGCCGCTTTCAACCGCCCATCTAAAACATTCGACTACCTTCTTCCCCCCAATAGAACGCAATGCGATTCTGCCCCTGGATTCGGCGCAACCCTCAGTCCAGATACATAAATGATGACCGTACGTTCTATTCGGGGGAAGACGGTAACATTATCGACCGACGACCATCATCAATTGACTGGTGGAGAATAAATCATCATCAATTGAGTGGTGGAGAATAAATCATCATCAATTGAGTGGTGGAGAATAAATCGCCCTATTGGCACTCTCTCCCCACCAAACGGCATTGGTCATTATAGCTATTTCACGTTCAGGTCACACCCAGCTTCAATGCAGCGGGTGGACAAGATTCCACCCACAGTCGAGCTCGTCAGCGAGTTGCAAGACATTTAAAAGAAAAAAATGATGTTTTTTAACTTTTTTTGGTTTTTATATGGTGACCTTCGCAATACGGGCTGGCTGGAAGAGTCTACTGACTTGGTCCCCCGAATAGACCGGACGGTGATTATGCCCCCCTTGTATTAAGGCAACTATCAGTCCAGATACAGAAATACAGACCCGAGTTCAAACTCCACTGGAAACAGACGAGTACAACACTACAATTCTGAAAATTGTCCCACAATTTAAAAAAAAAATAAAGTTCTCTATCGTTCCAAAACGTTAACGAACGTCCCGACGGGACGTCTGGTTCCTTTCTACCGACAACTCATACGGAGGCGTCGCTCCACTACTCACAACATGCACAAAAAACAACATTGAAAAGTCAAAAAGGGAGCCGCTCTACTACTCACAGCATGCACAAAAACAACATACGGCGGTGTATTTTCCTATATTCTAGCGGACGATTCATTCTCGTTTTGCACAGTTGGCCAGTCGTGGAGGAAATGCCAGGTCCAGAGTACTTTCTGAATCTAGAGAAATCTCCGAACAACTTAAAAAACGCAATTGAATGCCAATTCACTCCACGAACGTCCTCACACACAGGATTTCACATACTTCACCACCCTTCCCCCCATAGCCTACCAACGGGGCTAGCTCAGTTGGTCCGCCCATATACAGCTGAAATGCAGACAAGTTCACACCACATCACAATGACATCAGATGAGCAGAGAATTAGACAAGTCTTAAGCCACCCATGTACTCCCTAAAGTCGTGCACGTTAACGCGCCAGGATTTTAGGAAATGTACTTGCCACTACAGGAGCGCCCAAATCCATCCAACTAGAAACGTTTCCACTTTTTTTGTTGCCGCAGCCAACATAGCTGCGGCACGTAATGGTGGTTTAATTACCTGAACACGGTCAGCTCAATGACGATATCCCGAGGCAATCGTCCTTTCCGCCAAAAACAAAAACAAACACAAAAAAAAAAAAAAAAAAAAACGTAGCCTGATACCTTCCCGGCCTACCGTTACTCCCCAACATATCTCAAGTATGGTCTTCGAATTATATCAGACTCCTCGACGTGCCACACATCCCCATTCAAGTCTGACCAGAGACATACAACGAACAGCACCACGACGAGAGACTGCGTCATACGACGCGGGTTCGATTCCCAGGACAAAAGGGCAGCCGCAGAGCACATCAGGATGCAGTCAGGGGCAAATACGGAAAACGATTCAACCTCCTAAATCGTCGAATGCAGAGACAAAGACCTCGTTATTTTATCAGATTCAGAGATATTGGAAAAAATAATAACGCCAGACGGAAGATAAATAGCCTGTGTGAAAGGAGGACACGTTTCTCAAAAGGAGTAAACAATTCAAATTCCCATTCCCATCACAAACATAACGACGACCCACCACGACGAACGTATGCACTCCCCGTTGTCGTCCACATACATCCATAAGGCGGAGGCATGCTCTTCCGGGGAAGAAAATAAACTTCAGCAACAAGAAACGTATTCATTTTACAAATTTTTCGAATTTAAAAAAGAACAGAACTCGCCCGCTCAACATCAACCACCAGCAGAGGGGATGACATCTCACACGTTCCCGAAACTGTCCCTCGGCGCCACAACATTGACAAGCATTCCTTACAAACACCTCAACGTCTTACATTGAAACAATAACGATGAATCAAAAATACAAACATGAAGCCCTATGATTTAGTATTACTCTCAAACAGCCCATCGTTTCAGCCGTCTAAACACTTGCGCAAAGGTTCGATATACTGCACCAAAGGGGAATTGCCTCTCCCTCTCTCTCTCTCTCACACACACAAACGCACACACACACAGACAGAGACACGCACTCTCTCTCTATCTCTTTCTCTCTCTCTCTCTCTCACACACACACACACACACAGAGACACATGCAAAAAACATGAGTCTTATACAGTAATATAAGAATAATCCGCGCCTTCGAAAGCCCTCTCCAAACGGTTACAAGTACTCTCGCTCTGTGTCAAAGAGTAATCAGCGCCGTCGAAAGTTCTCTGGTCGCTTAAAACAACACAAACAATCATACGTACCAGCAGACATACTACCATCGAAAAGCGGTTAGCAAGGCGATAGCTTCTCAGAGGTCAACACTGCCCCTATTGATCCGTCCCAACCGCACGTGATTCGTACAAGGACAAGGGAAAGCCGAACCTCGTTCGTAAGAGCACACGTAAGAAACGTTGCCCTCTAAGGTAGCCTCCGAGACATACGGCCCAGATGTGAGTATCATCGAATACGCGGTGCCCACACTGGCACTTCTTAAGCCAATCAAAGAGATATCGAACGGCCACACAGAAAATCAACAGCAACTAAGACCACCAGGTTTCGCGCGAACAAATCAGAGCAACGATATGATACGTCCCAGACATGAGCTTCGACCTTCGCAAACCGGGAAGAAGGAAAGGGAGCAGGAAAGGGAGAGGGAATTCAACAGAGAAACGGTTGACATGATAACGAACCAATCAACAATTTCAGATTTCCAAAACGCTAACAACGCTATTCGTTCGTAGACCGCTTATTAGTGGATGATTACAAAAACTGCTGCTGAAAAGACAAAAAACCAAACCTGCAAAAAAAATAAAAAAAAAAACAAAAAAAAACAAACCAGCAATACGTAATTTCGTGTTTGTTTTCGGGTTCGACCGACAAACAACAACCTGACGCAACGACGGATACAACACATCCGCGTGCGATCAAACAAAATACGAAGAGAGACACGAAGACGTAACGACGAGCGACACAACAACCTGACGCAACGACAGAAACGAACTTGCACAGAAACATTTAGCTTTTAACCACCTCACCAGCCACGTCGGAGAAAATACCGCCAATGGACATCGGACGAAACAAGTCAAAAGCATTTTTACCGGAAACCCATCCCTGAGTGAGTGTGGTAGCTGCTCCCTTATATACGACAGTTGATGAGTAACGGAGCAACAACCACCGTTGATGCTATAGCAATCCCACGCGCACCCTCCCATCCTCTCACCCCTCCTCTCTGCACCTTCCATCCTCATCTCCACTCTCCGGCAATTCCTCTTGATCATGACAGAAAACAGCCAACTCAAGGGAGGTCAAATCAACGGACCACTCTCCGGCGATTTCTCTTCATCACGACACAAAACAGCCAACTCAAGGAAAGACAAATCAACCGAATAGGTAATAATTCCAACAATACGACCAAGTCAGTACATGCAGAGATAGATTTCGTCCAACTCGCCCAAACACTACGCTTCTCTCTCTCTCTCTCTCTCTCTCTCTCTCTCTCTCTCTCTCTCTCTGTGTCTCTGTGACAGACACGTGGAAAAAGTGCGAGGATTTAAGAGTGTTCAAAGTCGAGATATTCATTTGTAGAGAAATTGAAAAATTTTGAAATTGCGAGTAACATATTTCAGGGGAAAGCTCTCCCTATTCGCGAAGCGTGCCATTTTCAGCGTCCATGCTGAGAGGTGGAACAAGAGTGACGTCACAAGACTCCAAAGCACAATGGCAATTTTGGAGAAAAAAATCGGGAACTTGCAAAAGTCCACGTCACAAATGGACGTTTTCATACACCTCGGATATGGAAGAGAGCCTATTCAAACTGACGTTCAAACAACGCCGGTACTGACGATATAGCAGAGGCTGAAATGATCGCTCGCTGATTTGAACGACAAGTTGCAAGAGACTGGAAAACAGGAAACGTTTCCCAAATGCGCGCGCGAAGGAGAACGAAACGTTCGCGGATATCCCGCGCCATTAATGCTCGACGAAGAGCAGACCCGCCGGCAGACGCACAGAGAGACGGATAAAGAAATGTCGCTCTCGCCGTGAATAGCCGAGGGATAGACGACTTCATCCTTATTCCTTTCAAAAGAATAAAAAAGAAACTATAACAAACTGTGACCCAGAAGATAACCAACTTTCCTCCAGTTTCTGGGGAAACCCCGAACCTGGACGGCATTCACGGCGCCATTCACGCCGACCGAGCTGTGGCTTTAACACTCGCCACCCTCCCCTCCCCTCCCCCCCAAAAAGCATAACAAGGAGAGAAAAGACCAGAACGTCGACGATAAAACGAGTCCCGCTCAAACTCCCTCCTCTCTGTGTCTCTCTCTTTCTCTCAGCAAGTTCTCATCGCGAGGCGCAGGGTCTCTTATTAGCAGGGCAGGAGCTGCTATAAGTGAGGAGCTCAAAGCCGTCGTCGAACTCAACTGACCCCGCCATTATTCGAATTCTCCCACTTGGCAGTCCGGCAGCAATAGCAGGCAGCAGCAGCAAAAGCAGACAAAGAGGCAGAGGCAGCAGCAAAAGCATTAGACAAAGAGGCGCAAAGAAGCGGAGAAAGCAGCGGAGAAGGCAACAAACACTAAAAATGCTGACGTCAAGAAACACCTACTAATCCAAAGCACGTCGATGAGCGAGAAAGCAGGCGAGAGTGCTTACGAAACGGAAATAATCCCCCTCCGGTCGTCGTCCTCCACCGGATACGAACGAGATGATACCCACGGTAACGGTAGTACGACTCGAGCGCCATAAAAGAAACTGTCAAAAAGAAATGAAACATTGCTGACCAAACCTTCCTCTAATTAACCAGCAGCAGCAGGAGGACCAGTGAAGAGCTTCGAAAGCTGAGTCGAAAAACCGCCGAAGTTAGGTCAAAAATTTCTCAACGAGTAAGAGACCTAGCACTCTAGACGAGGACTAGTAAAGGAGCGGGACGGTCCTCAACCATACCAGGACGGCCAAAGAGGCATACATAACTTGTCTGTCTGCTGGGCCTCTCACGACATGACAGCAGCAGAGCAGGCAGCAGCGCTGTTGAACCGACGGCACGGGACAAATGGGAACAGAGACCTGGAGCGCCACCACCACTATTTATCAGGAAGCTCGGAACAAGGAACGAAAGGTTGATATGCAGCAATTACCGATGGCAGCAGGCAGCAGCGCTGTTGAACCGACTGATACGGCAATTGAGAGAGCTGGGCCAGTAATAATATAACAATAGAAACAAATCCCTAAATATACTCAAACCTGATTCCATCAAATATTGATCTGCAGGTCTTTGACCCACGGGTCGAGAGGCTTACCAATGGAATAGACGATGAAGCCCATCTTCCGCATGTCGGCGACCTTAACGATATTACGTCCGTCGAAGAGGAAAGCAGGTTTCTGCATATTGTCATAAATTCGCTGGTAGTCCAAATTCCTGAACATTTCCCACTCGGTTAAGATACAGATACCATGCGCGCCCTTACACGCCTCGTACACATCAGTGGCATACTCGATCTTCGACGTGACCGATCCACCATGCGAATGAAGCTGATGAGGATGATCCCACTCAAACTTGTTCATGGACAAGTCTCGACGAATTTGCTCTTCCGGCACCTGAGGGTCGAAAATGGTCAGAACCGCTCGATCGCCAAGCAATCCGTGGCAGACGTCGATGGCAGGAGTTTCCCTCGTGTCGCCCGTATCCTTCTTGAATGCGAATCCCAAAATAGCAATCTTCTTACCCGCCACGGTGTTGAACATCGACGAAATCACTCTCTTCGCGAACCTCGACTTCTGGTAGTCGTTGATAGCAACCACTTGTTTCCAGTAATGGGCCACCTCACTCAATCCGTTGCACTCACAGATGTACACCAGATTGAGAATGTCCTTCTGGAAACACGACCCTCCGAATCCAACACTGCTCTGCAGAAATTTGGGGCCAATTCTCGTATCCTTGCCAATTGCAAAAGCCACTTCGCTGACGTCGGCGCCGGTCGACTCGCAGAGAGCGGAGATGGCATTGACTGAGGAAATGCGCTGCGCGAGAATTGCGTTGGCGGCGAGCTTCGACAGCTCCGCCGACCACAGACCCGTGGTGATGATCTTGTCCTCCGGAACCCAGCGGGCGTATACGCTCTTCAAGGTGTTCACCGCTTTCTGACCCCCCTCCGTGTCCCTCCCACCTATCAACACTCTGTCAGGAAACGCCAAGTCCTGGATTGCTGTACCTTCCGCAAGGAACTCTGGATTGGACAGAATCTGGAACTTGATGCCTTTGGCGTTATGCGACAGCACCTTCTCGATCGCTTCCGCAGTCTTCACGGGCACCGTAGATTTCTCCACGACGATTTTGTCGCTCTTCGACACCGTGGCAATCATACGCGCCGCGCTCTCCCAGTACGTCAAATCGGCAGCCTTACCTGCGCCGAGACCAGTGGTCTTGGTCGGCGTGTTGACGCTCACGAAAACCACATCGCAGTCAGCGACGAGACGCTCCACGTCCGTGCTGAAGAACAGGTTCCTCCCGCGGCATGCTTCCACGACCTCGCTCAGACCTGGTTCGTAAATTGGCAAATTATCACTGTTCCAGGCGGCGATCCTGGCCTTGCTGATGTCCACGACGTTCACCTCAACGTCCGGGCACTTCAGCGCGATCATAGCCATCGTCGGTCCGCCGACATAGCCGGCGCCAATACAGCAGATCTTCAAACTGGGAGGAGCCATGGCATGCACTGGCAAGCGACCGCCGACAGACGAACGTGAGCGACAGGCCAGCCAGCACGGCAACAGCACAGACAAGCCCCTCAACGGAGCTGCCTTCAACGACACCCTCAGAGACCGCGAGCGGAAGAGAGAGGAGTTTGATACAGCCCGACAACAAGACGGGAAGCAAAATAAACTCCCGCAAACTCCTGCGATCTCTCTGATAGCTCACACTCTTTTGGCCCGACCTCCAAGTGCGTGACTTGCCTCTCGGATCATCAAAAAACATACGCGGGTACACCTCCCAGAGAGTACCGGGCCTCTCACATCATCAAATCAAAAACATATTATGTGGGTACACGTACACGCGGGCGACGGCGCATGACTAAACGTTACGTTACCACACCACGCGACCGGCCCACCGCGAGTCGCTGCGCTGCGCGCCTCGCCGCCCACGCCGCGCGACAGGAAAACCCTAAGAAATGGGAGTAGCAAAAAAAAAATAATAATAATAATAAATAAATAAAAAATGGGCGGTCTTCGGCAGCGGAGGTCGCGACCGGCCCTGCGAAACAAGACTCCGCCGCGCATTCCCCGACCCTTCCGCCGTGCCTTCACCATACGCTTTGCGAACAGTTTCCGAACCGCCGTTATGGTCCGAGCGGCGGGGTCGGCGGGGAGCGCGGGTGCGGCGGCAACTGAAGGCGAGAGCCGCCCCAAATCTGCTAGGGTTCGATGGCACGCCCAGGTAGGTGGGATATACAGAGCCAGGGTTCGAACCTGATTCGAACCTGCTACGAAATACAAACCAACGTCAGTACCCCTCGAGTGGACATCAAACGTGGTGGAGATGATTTGACGCGTTTGACGCGTGGAACAAATTTGAGGAGCCCCAAAACTTCTGCGGTCGGCGTGGTGATGAGAGCCTCCATGGAGTGGCACTCCTAGCCTTCGGAGGGGGTGGCCGTTTTGTCACGGACACCTCCGTCTTCGGGGCAGGCCCCACTCTCGGGGGAAGTAAATGGGAGGCACAGCGACTGGCAAAATGCTCGGTCTTTGCATCAGCCGGCTCCCCCTGTCGGCAGCCCCACCCTTTCTTTTTTTCTTTCTTTTTTTTTTTAACCACCAGTACCTCGCCCAGCTATCAAGTCCAAGGCTTGGACTACCTGTAGCCCGATCATTCCTGAGCCTCGGACTTCATTGCCGAGCCTCTGACAACCAGTACTACATCACGGAAAAAGAAAAAGAAAAACCAGGACT